TTCACCATTCACAACGTAGCGGACCCAGGTATGAAAAAGGCATACCTTCTGTGCCACTGCAGAATGGAGGCCCATCTCCTGCTTCAGGACTTAACAGCGCCCAGGCTGACCAAAGACAAGTCTTACAACTCTATGGTCAAGGCGCTGACCGACCACCTGGCTCCCAAACCGACAAAGTTTGTGGAACGCATGGACTTTTTTGCGAAAGTCCAGGGCCCCGACGAGACTGCCTCAGATTTCCTGGCAGCTCTGCATTGGGGCGCCACCAGGTGTTCCTTCTCCAACCTAGCTGAAGCTCTCCTCAACCAGTTCCTCATGGGACTAAGGGAGCCTAAGCTCCGGAGGAGGCTCGTAAGCCAGGACAACCTGGACCTAGATAAAGCGATCCCATTTCCTTGGACTTGGACCCTGCTGTCCGCCCTATCCGCATTAAGGCCAGGCTACCGCTGATTGCGATGAAGCCTAAGATTGAGGCTGAGCTAGATCGCCTGGTGGAACAAGGGGTTCTGGAACCAGTTGCGTCTGCACAGTGGGAGACCCCCATAGTCACCCCGGTTAAGCCATACGGGGACGTGCGCATTTGTGCGGATTACAAATGCACACTTAACAAGGCTCTGCAGGCACACGCTTATCTGGTGCCGGTGGTGAGCCACGTGTTGGCAGTTTTGCGGGGGCTCGGGTCTTTGGCAAGTTAGACTTGGTCCAGGTGTATCAGCAGCTTCCGGTTGATGCCGCCATGGCTGAAGCTCAAACGATCACTACACACAGGGGGGCGTTCAAGGTTCACCACCTTCAGTTCGGGGTCTCGGTCGCGCCAGGAATTTTTCAATCTTTTATGGATTCCCTCCTGAAAGGTATCCCCGGGGTTCAGCCATTTTTAGATGACGTGCTGATCGCCGCCCCAGATGACTCATCCTTTGCTGACCGTCTGCGGGCCGTACTACAACGCTTCGACGTGGCAGGACTCAAGGTCAAGCGGGAAAAGTGTCTCCTGGGGGTGACTCGTGTCGAGTTCCTGGGGTTTGCGGTCGATGCCTCCGGCATCCACCCCACCATGGACAAGGTGACCGCCATCACGCAAGCGCCGCCTCCGGCGTCCAAATCTGAACTGCAGGCTTTTCTGGGGCTTCTGAACTTCTACCATTCCCTTTTGCCCCTCAAAGCTGCCGTTGCGGAACTGCTCCATCGCCTCCTAGACAAGTCTGCACCTTGGGTCTAGGTTCCGCCACAAGCTGCTGCGTTCCAGGCGGTCAAAGACCTGCTCGTTTCTAATGTGGTCCTGGTGCATTTCAATGAGGCACTCCCAGTGGTACTGGCTTGTGACGCTTCCCCTTACAGGGTCAGAGCGGTCCTGGGCCACCAGCTGCCGGACAGCCACGAGGTCCCGGTTGCCTATTATTCCAGGACTCTATCTGCGGCTGAGCGCAATTAAGTGCAGATAGATAAGGAGGCGCTGGCTATCGTGGCAGGGGTGAAAAAATTTCACCACTATCTGTATGGGCGCCCCTTCATGGTCCTCACGGACAACAAGCCACTGCTGGGCCTCCTGGCCCCCGACCGCAAGACCCCTCAGATGATTTTTTCCCGGGTGCTCCGCTGGACTATGTTCCTGGCGGGGTACTCCTACTCTCTCATCCATCACCCAGGCAAGGCAATGGGCCATGCGGACGCCATGAGCTACCTACCGCTGCCAGTCTGTGATCTGGATCCTGCTTCCGCCCACCAGATCGCTTTCCTGGAGTCCCTCCCGGATCAGCCGGTCCATGTCACAGAGGTGGCTCGCTGCACCTCCAGGGACAAGGTACTTTGCCGGGTCTTGGACTGGGTGGTGAGGGGGTGGCCCGCGGCCAAAGGAGACCCTGACTTTACGCCCTTTGCTTCTCGGAAGGACGAGCTGTCCATCCACAAGGGTTGTGTCATGTAGGGAAGTAGAGTGGTCATTCCTAAGCCCTTACCGAAACGGGTCCTCGCCGTTCTTTACGAAGCGCATCCCGGGGTGGTGCGCATGAAAGCCTTGGCCCGGAGTTACGTCTGGTGGTCGGGGATGGACCGGGACATAGAGGACGTAATGAAGAAGTGCCAACCGTGCCAAGTGTCCCGGCCCAAGCCACCCCGCGCCCCAGAACAGGCCTGGGAATCTTCCCACCGCCCCTGGTCCTGGTTACACTTGGACTTTGCGGGACCGTTCCAGGGGCAACTTTTCTTTATACTGGTGGATTCCTTCGGCAAGTGGCTGGAGGTAGTTCCCATGCCTTCAACCTCCTCAAAGGTGGCCATCCGGGCGATGTGGCGGATATTCAGCACCCAGGGAATCACGGACACGTTAGTCACGGATAACGGGACGGCGTTCACGTCCACTGAATTCCAGGACTTCACAAGGTACTACGGTATCCACCACGTCCGGTCTGCCCCGTTCTACCCCGCAACCGACGGCCAGGCAGAGTGCATGGTCAGGACCACGAAGGATGCTCTTTGCCACTTGGACTCCTCAGACTGGGACTATAAACTGGCTGCTTTCCTTTTCGGCCCGCGAACTACGCCCCACACCACTACGGGGCGCAGTCCGGCAGAGCTACTTCTCGGCCGCCGCCTGACAACCTGGCTGGATCACCTGCATCCCGACCAGGCCTCTGCAGAGGTACCAGCCACGGAGACACACGCGGCAGCCAGGGGATTCTTCCCGAAGGATCCCGTGTACGCAAGGAACTACGCCCGGGGACCAGCCTGGATTCAGGCACGAGTAGTACGAGTCAAGGGTCCAGGATCGTACGAGGTCTCTTGTGAAGACGGGCAGATTCTACACCGGCACATTGACCAGTTACGCTGCCGGACGATGCCTTTGGATCCCGAGGACTTGGACGTGGCGGAGGCCCCAGATACCTCAGCCCTGACACAACCGCCGGCAGCAGAACACCTGCCTCTACTCTTGGTCGCACCCAAGGCACCTCTTCTGGCAGCACAGGGAACGCCGGCACCAGCCTCCCCCCAGCGCCTCTCCCAGTCAGCTCACCTCCGAGGGCTTCGGGTGGAGACAGCAGCAGTTCCCGAACTTTGCCGCTCTACCCGCACCAGGAAGTTGCCAGCCCATCTGAAGGACTTTGTCTGTGGGTGTATTGCGGACCAAGGGGGGAAGGGTGTACTATACCCAGTTCAGACCGCGTGGCCAGCTTGGGCTCCATGCGGTCAAGCGCAAATGTCGAGCTTCGCTCAAAAAGACAATGGACTATGCGGATCCTAGCCCGCACCAACCAGGGGGCTAGGTTCCCGGCCGAGAGCCTATGGAACTCTTGGCCATTGTAAATAACCTATTGGGAAGTGTGTGTGTGTGTGTGTATGAGTGGCGGTTTCACAGGGAATATATGCTGGCCTGCGAGCTGGCTAAACTTGTCTTGTTCCTGATCTAATAAAGTACGCTAAGCTGAAATCACTCTCCATCTGCGTACTTTTCACACTTCCTGTGCAACACCAGCAATGCGGCCTCGGCCTTTCTCTTTCTCTTCATAAATCCCCCCATCCCCCATGGGTTGCCAGGAGGGACTTGACAACCCTTGTGTATTATGTGCCATCAAGCTGCTTCTGATTTATGGGGACCCTGTGGCTCAAGTGGTTAAGACGCTGAACTGCAGGCTGTGGAAGGTCAGTAGTTCAGCAGTTTGAGACCCGGGTGCCGCATGATGGAGTGAGCTCCCGTCTCTAGTTCCAGCTCCTGCCAACCTAGCAGTTCGAAAGCAAGAAATTGCAAGTAGATAAATAGGTACCACTTCGGTGGGAAGGTAACAGCGTTCCGTGCGCCTTGGTGTTTAGTCATGCCGGCCACATGACCACGGAAACATCTTCGGACAGCGCTGGCTCTTCGGCTTTGAAACGGAGATGAGCACCGCAACCCTAGAGTCGGATTCGACTGGCTTTCGAGCAAGGGAACCGTTACCGTTACGATGAATTAATGACCTCCAAAACAATCTATTGTTAACAGCCTTCCTCAAGTATTGCAAACTAAGGACCATGGGTTAATTTATTGAGTCAATCCATCTCTTGTTTTATTAAGACCAACCAAAATAATCATGGTGTGGCTGGTATCAGATTGTACCACAGGTAGGCTGGGAATGAGAAACATACAGAAATCATCCAACTGAAAACCCAACCACCATCCCTATATTTTCAATTGGATGACTTCAGGTTTTTTTTCTATTTGTTCCTAGCATGCCAGGGTGCAACCTGATACCAGCCACACCCCTACCCTTTGAAGGTAACAAGCATCCCTACGCAGAACACACACGAAGAGGACTTTTTTCTCCCCTTCTGTTGTTTTAATGTCCAGCCTGATGAAAACCCTGGAGAGCTCAAAAGTTTGCACATTGTTTTGTGTTACTGAATTTTGGTTGGTCTTAATAAAATTAAATGTATTACTGGGGGGGGGGGTGGAATTGTGAACCAACGTGGGTACCTTTTGTTCTTTCACTGAGCCATGGACTACAATTTCAAGTACACTTTCCTCCTCAGTCCTCACCATCGGTCCTCATTAATTTCTGCGAACAAGACTAAGATTATTTATGGGGTGTGTGTGTTAAAGCTGCAATCCTATTGGAGTCGGGCTGAAACATGAATGAGGATCGGGATCAGAAAAAGCGAGGGCGACGAACAGTTTCGTTTTGCTTTAAGGAGGGAGAAGCAGTCTGTTGGGAGAGAAACATGATCTCAGGTGTTGCTGGGAGTGGAAGGGACAGCTGAAGAGCGTTAGGCGAGACTCGGTTCTGACTGTGGAGAGAGGCTGTCAGTTGACGGAAGAAAGGAAGAGTGAAAGGGGAACAAACTTTTTTTGAGGAAGAGATTTAAAAGGAAGTAAAAAAGAACTAAATTTGTGCCCAATCCCAACCATCAATTATAGCGCATGCGCGCCGGAAGACGAATCGCGGGAGTCGGGCATCCATTTCGCCTTTCCGAAGCGAAGCGCCGCCGGGTGTTTTGAGGTGGAGGGGATGGGCCTTTCTTGCGGGGGTGTGGGACGGGGCGCTTGTACAGCGCGACGGAGGAAGATGCCGCGATTCGTGTGTACTCAGCGCAGGCAGCAGAAGCCAGGCTCCACGGCCCTACCAGCGTTAAGGTGCGTCAAGCTGTGGAGGAAACTTACCTTTTATGGAGGGGGGGGGCTGCTGTGATATGCCACCTGCAGCCTTTCTTACAGAGCTAAAACAGTGTTCAGTGTGCTTGGGCTCTCCGCTTCACGTCCCGCTCAGTCTTTCCCAAGATAGCTGGCCCACTTTTCGCTGGCTAGAGATGGGGGAGACCTTGCATATTCATACTAGCTTAAAATAGTTTTGCGTCTGTGTTTCCCATCACTTTGGGAGCTGAACTTGGAGGACTATCTCTAGCAAAGGATTTGTGACACAGACTGTACAAAACTACATTTCCCAGAAACCATTGAGGGAGGTCCTGTTGAAGTGGTTTAGATATGAGTTTAAAAGTTCAATGTGGATTACCCTGGAACTTGACTTTTAGTCTCTGCATTGTATTTCCAGTGTGATTTATCAGTGGGTTTTCTGACAGTGTATAGCAGACTGTACTGGAAGCTGGTGGTGTCAATTGATCCCAGATGGTGATTGTTGTTGGGACACTTCCTCTAGGTTTACCAGAAGAGAATCTTTCTATAAAGTATGACATTTTCCTTATGATGTCTGTCTAGATTTTCAAGGCATATTGACTTTTCAACTTTGAATTGAAGCCTGAAACAAGTGTCTTAGCTTGCAAGATGAGGGGTTTTTTTGTTGCTGTCAAGTCACAGCCAACTTATGGAGACCCTATAGGGTTTTGAAGACAGGAGATGTTCAGAGGTGGTTGCAATTGCTTGTCTCTCCATAGCAACCCTAGACTTCTGTGCTGACTTTTTGTTCAAGTGCTAACCAGGGCTGACTCTCCTTAATTTCTGAAATCTGACAAAGTCAGAGATGAGATGAGATCCTGAAGATGAAATAAAATGCAACAGTAATAATGGAGCACTGATATTTTCTGGATTGATTAGTTTTGTGATTCGGAAGAGTGGGTTCGTTATTAGGTTGTGAGAGGATAAATTGTTAGGCTGTGAACCTAAACCATTAAGTTCTTGCAGGTTGGAGATGAAATCATCAGGAGAATCAGAGACTAATGTAACCATTATGGGCCTACTCTACTGGACCAATATTTTGCCAGTGGGTGATTTGTGTTTCATATATAGTATGTATGGTTCATGCATCATCTTGATATTAAATTTTGTCAACAATAGGTGCCATATGCAGAGCTTCTTCCAGCTGCCATTAAGATGGCTGTGGGAAATATGATATAAAATATTCTTAGACCTTAGACTACATTATTAATTTCTCGCATGGGTAATATCTTGGGATAGAATCAAATGCCACTTTGACATTGATAAATGGAATACATAGTTGCTTAGGTAGCCATTCAAGTATTCAAGTTTAAACTTATAACATCTAACTTAACTCCAGTAATGGGGTTATCCAGTTTTCCACAACAGTGAGGAGATTCCTCATAGGACACATTATCAAGCTGCTTCTCTTGGTTCTGTTTTTAAAATGTTCACTGATTTCTGACTGTTTGGCAGCTACCTTGTCTCCACAATATTTGATGTATGCTTTATTAATAAATAATTAACTGAAAGCCTTTTTTTGCTTGTTGCACACAGATAATACATCTTGGATTTTCCATGCCATTGTATTCGTGGGATGATTTCTACAAACAATATGTCAAAATGATAACAAATATTATCATCTTAAGTGTACTTATTTGTATTTCTTTATCTTTTTGGATTGTGTCCATGACTGCAAGCACCTATTATGGTAAGGCTTAAATACTTACTTTTTCATTGAATGTTACAAGTTGGTGTGTTTGTACACAAGTATTTTACTAATTCTGCCTGTGCATGTTTACTCAGAAGTAAGTTCCATGGGAGTCAGTGGAGTTACTTCCAGGTAAGTGTGTCATGAAGGCAGGATGATGGATGGAAGATGCGAAAGTACGGCCTGGAGCCGCCTCACAGTGGTTGCACTGAGCCCCGCGGTTGCCTAAGCATTCAAGGCCTCAAAGCTGCAAGCTGGTAGCATGGGGGGGAGGGGCGAAAGCATGGCCGGGGGCCACCACGCCGCAGTCGTGCCTGCAGCTGCCGGGGGACTGTAGACAAAAAGAGGGGGTTGTGGGGGGGGGGCGGGGAGGCGGGGGAGAGAGAAACAGAGAAGCGATCATCTTCTTGTGCCCACGCCTCAATGCGACCCTGAGTGCAACTTCCTAACAATAATACCACACGACCTAGGATAACCCTTCCAGGAAAATTTTGTCCACTCATCCATGTTGAGGGTATTTCTTTCAATCCCATTTTCACGGGGATTTAAATTCAAAAATCTAAGCAACCAATCTCCAACTAGTTGTGTTCTAATGTCACCACACATGTGCAAATTTGGTGTACTTCCTCAACAGCTGTTTCCAGTGGGTGGATATGTCACAACGCACCCACATATCCTGGGTGGGTGCGTTACTACGCAACCCCACCTCCATTAAAAAAAAACCCCGAGGGGAAACAGAGAGGAGGGACCACTAGATCCGGGGCAAGGCGACATGGGGAATTGAACACCCGGGACAAAGCCGGGTCAGATTTCTGTAATGCAGAAATGCTGGCGTAGAATCGGGCCAATTAGACCTGGGGTTAAAGGGAAGTAAAGCATTGGTGCAGAATTGGCCCTAGACATTCAAAGACAGATCTTCTTAGTTCTCAGTTATGCCTTAAACTGACTGTGAGCCGCACTGAGCCTGTATTGCGGGGAGGGCAGGGTATAAATGTGATTAATAAATAAATAACTAAAAGATGCTGAGCAGTTTAACAAAGCATTTTTCCCCCCAAAATAGTGGTTTCAACTGTGCCTTGGTTGTCAATCATTAATTGTTAATTTCTGTTGTCAGCTTACTTTTTTATAAGCAAGAATAAGAAAGCAAGATTTGTGAGGGAGGGAAATCCATCCACCCACACCTTCAATTTCTCTTCCCTTGTATTGTTACTTTCTCTTACATCCCCTTGTGGGCCACCATTCCCCACCCTTTCTATTTTCTCCATCCCCAACTCTCTTGCTGGACAGAGCCCCAGTTGTGGGGTGGGAGGAAAGTGCTGAAACAGAAGGGGCATCCTGCACACATTCTGCTCCAAGGTTTTTACTGTCACCTGCCCAGTGATGGGGGAGCCATCAGATAAAGAAGGCCTTTCCATAGATGATCAACAATTTAACTGGTTAAGGTTTTAAGAAATGCGATCTTGTGCTCTTGGACTTATTCGATAGACGGCTTTGGATGTATGTTTTCTGTTGTTTGGTATTAGACCTCTCTGTATGGGCTTGGTAATTTCTTTTTTTAGTTTTTATAAATAAAGGAAAAAATGGGGGAGCCATCAGCAGGCAGGCAGTGGCCACAGCCTTGGAGTAGAAAGCATGCAGAGTGCTTTTTTTGCTTTACCACCTCCTCCTTCTCGCCATCTAGCCATCTGGGTGTGGATAATGCCAAGCACTGTAACGGCTGCCACCTTCTCTCTCCCCCCACCCTTGTGCCACTGTCACTGCCTCTTTATCCCAGCTCTTGCCCTGTTGCCATCTCCTGGTCATCATCATTCTTCTGCTTTATCCCCTCAGGGTTTTTTTTAAATGTCTATGTTGTAATGCAGAGTTTTTTTAGATCTTGACCCACATTTTGTCTGAGTTCTGGTTTCAGGGTTTAAAAGAACTTTTGAGATTTTTATGCAACCCTAGAAGATTTTCAGGATTTATCAAAAAACAAAACAAAAAATCCTTTGTATCTGAACATGATACCACTTTGTGGATTCTTTGATCCTTATTCTGGGGTCATTGTTCAGAATTAGTTATATGACTGAATTGGTAAGTACCATGTTTGTAAAGAATCCAGGAGTTAAACCAGAAGAAAACTTGATCCATTTTTGTAAATAAAGAATTCAAAATGTTCCTATTTAGTATGCAGTAAAAGGTCTTATCAGTTATGACCCATGGCCCTTTGAGGATTCTTGAAACTATTTTGTAAGTTATAGGATGAAATCTTGTGTTTCTGGTTTTCTAAATGTTGTTTATAACAACCTGTCTAGGTACTTTACGCCCTATTTCTCCATGTCGCTGGCTGTTTTCAATTCTAATTCCACTAATGATTGCTTCACGAGGATTTAAGAAGAAAAGTCTAGATCATGGTGGAGCAATAGGAGGTCAGTTGTTGTGGCTTGAGTTTGGTTTTTGTATGTACTTCTCTTTAATTTTCTCTTTAATTTTTTTTCATCCCTCCATGGAACACTTGTGTAAATAAGGTGTTTATCAAATCATCTCATTGTGTAAATAAGGTGTTTATCAAATCATCTCATCTCTGCCACATTGTGAAGTTATTTCACTGGAAGCCTTTGTACTACTCAGGGACCTTTGCTGTAGTACTCTGGACTACAAGTCCTTGGTTCTGCTTTCCAAAATGTTATTTAACTACTTTCCCAACTATGTTTGTTGAAGATTTGAGATGTAGGGAGCATAGGATGGTTTATTGAAAAAAAGGGCTTACATTTTCAGAGAAGGTACAAATATTCAAGGAAATCTTTAAAGATAGTTTGTGCTTAAGCACTGTGCCTGCGTAAGGTCATAGGCAAGCAGAAAAGAGGGCCAGCATGCTTGCTCCCATTCTATGTGTATTGGCTTATTTGTACGTATTATGTGTGCTGGGCTAGTGAAGCTCTTATGGTAATAGTCAGAAAATGGGTCACATTTGTGGGTGAGGATAATGAGCTGGATCCCTTGGAGGGTATCTGTGGACAGAAGGGATTTCTATCTGTGGTATGTGATTTTGGGATCTCCCCCCCCCCCCGTGCTGTTCCCAAAGGGCCCCTGAAATGTTGCTTCTGGAGGACAAGTAAACCCCAGAAATAGTGCGAGGGGGGAATTTGGTGAAAATAACTCCCCCCTTTTGTCCATAGAAATCATCCATGTGATTCTTCTTGAATTGTGAAAACATAAACCTGAACATGTATGTGTAGTGAGTGTGAGAACACAGAAATGGTATTAAGAGAGTATATGGTTGCAGAGTTAATTTAGGCTTGAAAACTCACTCCAGTGTATTGAGCTCTTCCATGTTGTAGCTGTATAGTAGGCCCTCAAAGTAGTTGCTCTGCAGTTTGGGCTCTGAACGTCTCTTGCCCTGAAAACCCCATGGGGTCACCATAAGTTAATTGTGACTTGATGGCAAGTCAAAATGCTTTGTACAAGTTATCTTGTAAAACAACCCTGGAGGATAGTCCCCATATTGTGGATGGGGAGCTAAGGCTGAATTGCTGAAAGCCACGTAATGAGTTCATGGCAGAGGCAAGAATTGAACCTCAGAGCTCATTCTTGCCACTGTATTATTTCTTTTCTGAAATGATGTAACACAAGCATAGGTCTGTATGCCTTTGGTTTGGTGAATTGAGAGGGAGATTTTATCAATCATTCGAACAGTAAGTTCTGTGGCACACAGGTGCGTGGACATAGGAGAGAGATGAGAAATAAGAGCAGAAATGAACAGCCAAAAAAGAGGGTATCAACAGAAGCTGGAATCAGTCCAGTCCAAAAGAATGTAAAGTCAGGGTGTAAACTGCTGTATTTGGAAGCATTATTTCTGCCATCTAACAAAATACAAAATATCCATATGCATTTTCATCAGTTTCCATAGATGAGGGTGGCTTCATTTCTCCGGTCATGTTTTCCTACTGGAAGAAAACTAAAGTGAATACATTTTCTTAATCCTCCTTTTGAATGCTTTAATCTATGTAGTCTTTAGACATAACATCATTGATAAATGCATCATCTTCATCTAGGTTGATCTTTAACATATTAAAACTATTTTTTGAGTCAAGAAGTAACTTTGCAATGAAGGTAATAACTCTTACCACTTTTTCCTCCTCAGGTTTATTAGTTGGATTTATTCTTACTGTTGCAAATTACAGCTTTTTCACTGCCTTGCTCATGTTTTTCATTACATCGTCCAAACTTACGAAGTGGAAAGGCGAAGTAAAAAAGAAAATAGATTCGGAATACAAAGAAGGTGAGGGTTTGGGATTGGGATTTTTGTTTGTCTGTTTTCCTACCTTAAGTATATTTCAGAAGTTAGTTTTAAGTCAACTGGTAGCATTAATTACCCGACCTGGACAACCTAGGCTAGCCTGATTTCGTCAGATCTCCGAAGCTAAACAGGGTTGGCCTTGGCTAGTATTTGGATGGAAGACCTCCAGGGAAGTCCAGGGTTGTGACGCAGAGGCAGGCAATGGCAAGCCACCTCTGAACGTCTCTTGCCTTGAAAACCCCATGGGGTCACCATAACTTAACTGTGACTTGAGGGCAAGAAAAAAAAATCCTTTCATTTTGACTTTTCATTAACTGGGAGGAAATATGCACAGAATGAATATGTGAGGCAAAGCACCCTAATTTCCCTCAAGGGTTAATGTGATTATTAGCAGGCCTCTTCTGGCTCACAGCTGTTCATGGTTTGGGCCTTCATGCAGATACCATCCTTATCTCTTTCAAGGCTGGATTCAGGAATGTGGTAATTGTTTAATTGTGAGAACCTGTGCTCAGTTGTGTGACCGGATGGGAGGGGGGAATTAGGAGCTGACGTTAACATCTTCACACACATACACACATACATAGACCTTTATTGGCATAACAAACATCTTCTAGAAAGTCCCATCAAGGAAAAATACTGATTGGATCCAAGAGACCACCCAGTGCCAGAGGGCAAAATACTATAACAAGGCTGTAGGCCAGAGGAAAACCATGCTAACTTTATGCTCGTGCCATGCTAGTATGCTTTGATATGTTATCTTACATTATGATGGACTGCTACGTATAGAACGCTTTAGGCTATAGCTTGGATTCTTATGCTGCAAGAAGGTGTGCCATCTAATAACAGGTACTAAATGTATTAGGAAAGTTAGCTTTTTCCCCCTCTGTTGCTAAACTAAAGTACAATTTGCAATAATAGCACCAAAGAAGTTAGTAATAGTGATTGTGCTCCTTGCTTCCAGTTAAGGAAAGCCATGGTAGAGTAGACCTCAGTGTTTTAAGCAGTGAGTTCTTCCATTCTAGCTTTTATTCCTTTTGTGTCTTCAGTGATGTATTATCTTTTGATTTGCTGATGTCTACATAGGTGGGCAGAGAAACTGGGTGCAGGTTTTCTGCAATGGTGGTGTACCTACGGAACTGGCTCTACTGTACATGATTGAAAATGGACCAGGTGAAATCCCAATCGACTTTTCCAAACAGTATACAGCATCCTGGATGTGCCTGTCGCTACTGGGTGCTTTGGCCTCCTGTGCTGGGGACACATGGGCTTCAGAGATTGGTACTGTTATGAGTCATGAACCCCGGTTAATAACAACCTGGGAAAAAGTTCCAGTAGGTAAAGTCTGAATTTCTCTTTTTATTTCCAGAAATCATCCCTATTTGAATGGGCAGTGGGCAGCAGGAGAAATTCCTTTTTCTGGTCTGGAATGTGTTGAAGTACATTCTGGTTTAGCCTTGAATTTGGCCTTGAAAGGGTGCTTTCTATTACCTTGGTTATAACTTGGCCCATTAGTACTAGATTCCATTCTCAGTGTGGTACTGCAGTGTAATTGGCAAAAAAGGTGGAAAGCATTATGGCAGCTTCTGGGTCTTCCTGTCTAATCTGTAGCTAGCTTTACACAGATCACTTTAGATATATACACTGACTTTGTTAGAACCAACTAGACAATGATATTCTGAAATATCTTTCAGGACAGGAAAATATTTATTATAAAGAATGTACTTCTATGTATCTGGCATTCTTTTATATTTGCATATACTGACCACATTCAGACACCACAGTAAACCTGTGTTTAGCTGTAACTGACATGTCTACAGCCTGTTCTTATGCACACATGCTTCCTTCTACCCCACCTCTCACACAGGATGACCAGAGTCTTCCTAGTTTGGGAAACCTTCAGTCTAACTCCAGTTTGCAGTGACATCAGAATGCAGGCATCTGGGCAAGTTGGAGTTTGCTTCCACCCTGCAAATCAGGATTAAAAACCGGCCTTTTAGCCCATGAGCGCAAGTGGTGCTTGTGCCAACCACAGACAGACTTGTGTCATGACATCTGCTGCTATATATTCCAGAGTGAATTGCTACATCCTTTGAGACGCTGAATTCTGTCTCACAGCCGAGTCACCAATATAATTACAGCCTTCGACTTTATCTTAATCTTTCCTTATCATCTTGATGCCAACATTTTAATAGATATGTTCTGAATTCTTATAGGTTATATCATGGCAGTTTAATAACTGTTCTAAGACTGGGAATGTGTCATTGACTAACTTTGGGCACTCCCTTCTCTCATGCAAATTTCCTTTGTCCCTTCCTTGGTCAGTATTAACCCTAGTAGAGTGGTTCACCAAGCCAACACTAACTCTTAACAAGGCTTTGCTAGCCATGGCTAATGTTGACATGGAAGCAGAGTTTGCCAGCAGGTTTCTCTAGAGACATTGCACATAAACACTCAAGAATCATTCTGTTTTGAACTTGGTGCCAAAAGCTCACACAGGGTTCTTAGCCATTGCCTTCGAATTCGACAAACATGGGTAAAATTGGCTATATATTCCTTCTTCTAAGTCACCATCTTATCTTTTACCCGAATAAATACCAACAATTTCATAATGAAGAAGACGTTGCATTATGTCAAAACATTTTATTTTAGTCCCACAGTAAAACAACAAGCAGTGTATCATCAAATTAATTTTGAATTACTAATCTGTACTAATGTTAGTATATCCAAAATATGGTCTTTCATAATCTCATGTGTGGTGACTTGAATAATCTTTGTCTTGTCTGAGAAGTAGATATTAAAAGTGTGCTCCAGCCAGAGGCATAAAGAAGGGTTTGGAAAGCCCTCTGCCTCAATTAGAGAAAGTTTTTATACAAGTAGTATCTCTGCCATATGTATAACATCCCTTCCTTGCTATACTAGAGGGGATATAAAGTTTCTGTGTCATACTTTTAACATGCTCTGGGTATGTAAGGCAGTAAAAATCTTTTGGGAGAATGCTTTCTGCAAAATCAACAAGATTGCAAAAGCAGCTTGAACCCAAATTAGCACCACAGATGAACACAAAATTTTAATGTGTAGATCTCTAAATAAACTGCTAGGGTTATTATCACCCAATATTGGACGTTCCAGGCCCAACTCAAAATAAGCATATGGTGTGACTGCATCTGGAGGGTAGCACTGCTTGATAAATTGATTCACTAGATGAGGACAATACAAAATCTAGATGCCTTTATATAATTTTGTAATAATTTATCTTATATACCAAAGCAGATCCAAGCCTAGTCATCCTCCATGTACTAAGGGTCCCTGGGGAGAAATTTTAGTGATACAGCAGTTGTATCCTAATGTGTACTTAAAAAAAAAATCAAAATAGTATATTGCAATGCTGAATACTCCTATATTGTATAAGAAATAGGGAATGGTTTGTCTATTAGCCTGAAGTGTTTGTTGTGTGCTCTTTTAAAAAGGCAATTTAACAAGGTTTCTAGTATTCTATTGCTAAAGACTAGGGGTATGCAAAAAAAAGAAAATCGGGTATATTGAACCAATTTTTTTTTGTTATTTTCCGATATTCCCAGATTCCAATACCAGCATAGTCTTCAGATTCAGGATATTTCAGATTTTTTTTGGTTCCATTATACCCTATGGGGACCATTATAGTCAATGGTCACCATAGGATATAAAGGGGAAACTATCTGGGGGGGTGTCTGTTTTTAATTAATTAATTAATCAATTTATTAATTATTATTTTATTTTTTTCTATTTATAGGCTGCCCTCCCCGCAAGCGGGCTTTTTGAGGTAGGGGCACCAAATTTTCAGCATAGCTACAGGTGCCTCTCCTCAAAACTCCCCAAGTTTCAAAAAGATTGGTCCAATTTTATGGGCCCCCAAAGAAGGTGCCCCCATCCTCCATTGGTTTCAGTAGGGAGGGAGGCATTTAAAGATAATGGGGTCCCTTTAAATGCCTTTTGCAAGCTGTGAGTGAATGCAAGTGAACGCCAAAGGTGTTTAAAGGACTTGTAATCCCTTTAAAACACCTTCTTCAAGCCACAAGATTACCCAGAAGGTGTTTAAAGGGACTGCAATCTCTTTAAACACCCTTTAACTTTAGCTATCCAGCGGTCCCAAAAAATCCTGAATATTTTTTGGGATGTTTGGGACTCCACTATTTCAAAAAGCTGAAAAAATACTGAGATCTATATCCAGCTGAAAGAATAGCCAGAAAATACCAATAAGCTATTTTCTGGCTTGGATATATCGAATACACTAAAGCCTAGTATCTCCTGTTGCTTAACTCATTTTGGTTTTTGAGAAGAGTTAATGGTTTGAAGTAAAGCAAGATTTTACCTACCCACAGTGAGTGATAAAAATATGCTTCTGGTTTTCCTTCTGCTCTGTTGAATGCATGTTCTAAAATATTTAAGAGTAATTTCTGGTGTGTTGTTTGTTTAGGTACCAATGGTGGTGTCACTGTAGTGGGCCTAATCTCAAGCCTGCTTGGGGGCACATCAGTAGGAGTGGCTTACTTCATTTCTCAGTTGATCTTTGTGAATGATCTGGATATATCTGCTCCACAATGGCCAATTATTGTGTTTGGTGGAATAGCTGGCTTACTGGGATCAGTGATTGATTCTTACTTGGGAGCAACCATGCAGTACAGTGGTAAGTTTTTACTGTTAAAGTAGTGTAACCTAGTTTGTCAAAGGTCATAAACCAGTTATTTTAATGTCTAGTGTCTGTTGATAAAGGTTGAATTCAGGTAATTGAGTAGTACTGAAAGTTGCAAATCTGGTATGTAAGCATTGGAATTTCCCCCCATACTAATTGTGTCCTTCAGATAATAAGAATTGTGTTTTGTAACCTCTTTGTTGCATTGACCAACAGAAAGGAAATCATAAGCAATCAAGCTGGGTGCGTAGGATGAACGTGCTGTTTCTGCTTATCTCTTTAATAATAGTGTTTTGCAGCTCTCCCATTGGCTGTGCAATGTGCTCCCTCAGCCATTGGCTCGTCAGCCGCCACTCAAGAGTACTTGCATGCCATTGGCCGAGTGCTGGGTCTGCTCCTCTTCTCTGCCCACTCCCCCTTCAGCCACTGTGCCCTGTCAGAATTACTGGCAAACGGCTTTCTCTCTTGACAAACACACTTCTCGTGCTTGCCTCCTGTGTGGGACTAACTTTTCCCTCAGTGGTTGTTGGTAGGTGTAACAAAATGGCAGTTACCTGTGTTTGTAAGATGGCTGCCGTCTGTGCTTGTTTGTTTAAAATGTTCCCCCATAAGGTTTAATTGAGCTGTAGTTCCAGAGAGGGGCCTGCAGGGGTATCGCTCATTGGGTTGAATGGGGCTTCCTCATCTCTGGCCTACAGTTCCCAGCTGCCCCAAGGCCAAAAAGTGTGGGAAAAGAGGGACTGTCCCAAGGGGCAGGGCAGCATCAATATAGACTCCAGCCCATCCAGGGAGGAGGCAGTCTTTGTCCTACAGGAGGTTAGGAAATGCTCCTGCTGCCTTTGCTGACTAGGCTGTCCAGGCCACAAGCCACAGACGTGGGGGAACCCTGGGAGGCAGCAGAAATTCAGCCACTCCACAGTCAGCTGGACTGGGGAATGAATGGAAGTTTCCCTGCTCTCTTGGGCAAGAGAGAGAGGCTGAAACAGAGCCAGAGGCCGGTCCAAGGAGAGATCCTATCCTGAGCCCACAACCTCCAGAGGTAGAGAGTATTGTGTGTAGGGAAAGAGGATTGCGTTTAACCCCTGTTGATTTATGTCCTGTTGGTTCATAGTGTGTGCTTACTTCTACAGTTCTGCCTTATTCATTTAGTGTGTGTGTGCTCCATAATTGTGTAAATACTTAAATAAATTTCTTTTATTTGGGCTACTAATCTGTGTTGTGCTCTGACCACATAGTCTCCCCCGCTCTGCACAACACCAAAGGGAGGGGGTAGCCCAAGGAAGCAAGGAAAAGCCAGACCTTTGGGTTGCCAACTTTCCAGGGATCCCCAAAAGATTGGGGATGCCACTTCAAATAGGGAGATTTGGCCAAAGGGGTCTCCTTTCCTTTTAAAAAGGCAGTGACAATTCAGTGAGTGGTGGCAGCGAACTTAAGGAGTGAGATACGCCCATAGGACAAGGGTGGGAGGTGAACAGCTGAGTTGTAAACTGGAGCCCGTTTCGCCACAGTAGGCAACCAAGCTTGGTTCAGACAAAGGAAGGAAACCCTTTGCCCACGCTGGCCAGGCGCGCCGGTGGCCACCCCTGCCTCCACCTCCGCCCCCTCGCTTGCTCCTCCGGGCAGGAGAGGCCAAGAAAGGCGGCGGGGGGGGAGAAAGCGCCACGCCCTGCCCACGCTGGCCAGGCGCGCCGGCATCCGCCCCTGTCTCCACCTCTGCCCCTTCGCTTGCTCCTCCGGGAAGGAGATGCCGAGAAATGCGGTGTGGGGGGGGGAGGAGAGTGCTGCGCCCTGCCCACGCTGGCCAGGCGCGCCAGCGGCCGCCCCT